TCTTCAGTTTACCCCTGAAGAAGAAAGGTCCATCTTTTGAAAGCGCTCAGATTATAGGGTTTTTATTCTTTTTTTATCAAGACTTCTTGAACCTACATGTTTTTCTAACATATTTTACATATGTTTTATTGTTCAAATGGTGTAAAATACAATTTCAAATATTTTGCCTAATTTATTAATAGACTCATTTGTTAGAAAGTCTTAATATGAATGTCTTCTGTTGGAAATTCATATTACTTTACAGTAAAAACTTTAAATTCTCAAGATGTGTAAGTATGATATGGGAATTAAATGTTTATAGTTTGTTCAGAGAAAAAGTTTTAAGTTCCTACAGTTACAGAACTATGATAAAACAGTAAATTCTGTTTAAAGGGAAATTCCTACTAGAGATATACATGCATACATAATAATATGAAAGAAAAACTGATATTATATGATTTTTCCTAGATTTCTGTCTGGTTTTATTTGTATAGATGGCTTGAAAACGTTCCAGCAAGTCGACACTATTTATCACTGCTGGATTCATGTGAGAAGTACATCCTAGCTGTCCAAATGAAGGAAGTAACTGATCCAAAATTGTGAAAGAAGCCATGAAGGACAAAACTATTAAGGTGAAATTGGATTTCATGCTTTTAGTTGCACAACAAGTGCAAGACTTTCAACGTAAGTATCAAATTGATGACCTATTGATCCCCTTCCTTGTAACTCATTTGACAAATGGGATGATGGACCTAATGACAAGGTTTGTCAAAAGTTGATTTAGTAAAAGGCAAGAGACTGAGTGCCATTGATATAATGAACATCAACTTTGATGAAAATAGTGTGTTGAAATCCTACAAAAATGTGGACATTGGAATAATCAGGGAAAATGTGATTAGCTTACTTCACAGAAAGAAGAACATTAATCACAGAGATATTTTGGAATTTTGTATGGATTGTAGTAAAATGTTAGTGAAAGTTGTGAAAAAAATTGCATGATAAATGCCCATTGAAATATGGAATCCTGAGGAACATGGACTGTTTGGATCCAAGAAAGATGGCAAGGGAAGCAGACACAGCTCATAAGCATTTCAAGAGGGTGTGAAAATAATGCTCAAAGCAGGTAGGGTGCAAGAACAAGATTTTTTGGCAATACCAAGACTTCTTGGTGAAGGAAAACCACTTTACCTTCAAGGAGTATAACCCAGCTGTGAGGCTAGATAACTTCTATGTACAGCTTGCAGCAAGTGGTTATTGTGACATCTGGTCAGTCATGAAAATAGTTGTTGTGTTTGTCACATGGCCAAGCTTTTGTGAAACAAGGCTTCTCGGTGAACAAGCAAACAATGGATGATAATCCCTTCACTGTAGGACTTGTTGCATGATGTGCTGTGGTGGACCACATTAAGACTGTTGAAGGTGTTTTGAATGTGAAGATTGGCAAGTCTCTGAGGCTCTCTTGTAAATCAGCAAAGCAGAAATATGATGCCTACTTGGTAGGAAAACAAAAATGAAATCCAGAAGAAGTCTGAGTAAATGGAAAAGGGAATTAGAAAAGGAGGGATTTTGAAGAAAAATATAAATTGGAGGATGAAATGGCAAAACTAGAAAAAAATATGTAAGAACTGGAACAGAGAATTGCGAAAAGACATTATTTAATTAAATTGATAAAATTGCCAAACTTTTTTTTTGAGAACTTTTGTATTTTATTACGGTTTTTCAATGTTGGATATCACTTTTTTGGGAAAATTAAATGTTTATATTTGACTATGGTCTATCTAATCTATTAAGTGAGTCTTGTAATGGTTCAATGTAAAGTTAATCCTTGCTGAATGTAAATGTACTTTAATTACTTGATAGCAATTTCTTCCAGCAAGAGTGCTTGAAACTGAGACTGTAAGCTATGGAAAAGTGCTTGACATTTTTCATTAATGTGCAATGTGAACCCTGTAAAAGATCAGTGCTGTGTGTAAGGAGGCATGTTAATTTTAGTATCCTGTTGAATAATAATCTTTTCCCATGTGTTTTTCTCAATTATTACAAGAACCATGATTTGTCCTTTTTTCTCTCATTATATTTTGTACTATTGCATTTTGTTTTTGTCTTCTAAAAGAATAGTTTAAAAGCTCTGCCATTACCTAATGTTAAGGCTAATATGAAATTTGAAAGTTCCTTAGCCAAAACCATCAAATTTGACATCAGCAGATTATGTCCTTACTTCAAATGCAAAAAAAAGAGGTCCAAGGGTTATGAGGCTGGGCATGACATGGTGGTTGAGGTACTCAACTCACAATCTGTAGTTCGAACACAATGACTCACCTCTGTGTACAGATTAGCTATTTTCTCTTGACGTTGCACTATTCTGTCTTAGAGATTTGCATGCCACCAGCCTTGTGAATGTCCCACTTAAATTTCACATGAAAACACATGTACTATTGAGTGATGATGTATCACGCAGCAAAGTCCTCTACTAATAAGAGTGTGATACATCTTGTGCAAATACTCCCTCTACATTCATACATGAAAAATCCTCATTATTTTCCTTGGTGCAGTTGTGCTATGACATGTTTATTTTTGCTGAAACTTAATGAAGTAAATACTTCGGCAACTTTACTTTGTATTTTAAACCTTTCAATATGAATTCACAGATTAATGTGAATCCTTTTTGTCTGCTGATGTGAGCACAAATATCACTCACAGTTACCAACAATTTAGAAAGTTATTTGACGGTTGATATTGTGACGGTTATCATGTATTGCAAAAGGTGCTGCTCAGGTTGAGAAATACACTAAGAAGACAAGTAATGTAACATCATATAAAATGTGGTGGGATCCACATTGCTGCCTGGACTTGTTTCTTCCGATACAATATCTATTCTTGATTAATGCTGCCTTCTATATGCTTAATTTTTTGCTCACTACTACCTTTGATACTCCCATCTATCCCCACATGTTTA